TAGTTATGACAATATGTATAACTCATAATAACAATAATTTGCTTTTTAAAAAATTCAAAAGCAGCTGAACAGGAGCTCCCCAAGATGAGGGTGCTAGGATCATGTTTCTTTGATGCCCTCTGTCCCCATGATTGTAAGATGGCTGCCACAGCTCCAAATATCTCATCCTTCAAGAATGTGCACAATGACAGCCAAGATAGTGACAGAATGATTATCTTGTGCCTCCTTGTTTTATCAGAGAGTGCAATATTTCTCAGAGGTCTCCTTAGCAGACTTATTGGCTAGAATGGGGTCAAATGACCACTAACAGCTTTAAGGAAGTCTAGAAGAGTGTCTGGTGAGGAAGAATTAGGGGATTGGGAATTAATATTGAGTAGTGGTCAGCAAAGAGCATTGTCATAAATGCCTTAGAGTTTTCCACATACTTTTACATTCATGATCCCATGACTCAACGGGACTACTAACCAAACATTCTGGAAATCCAAAATTGGAATAAGAGGTATAAGCAGCATCCACCATGTGGGAACTTCTGGCAATGAAGTCATTTAAAGATCCTGTGAAAGTGTAAATTTAATGCAAAGGTTTTAGAGATATTATAATGTATTTTGCTATAAAACATGCATGTAAGAACCCAAGGAGAAATTCAGAAGATTTTATAGTTTGGGAAGATAATTACATGGTGGAATGAAAAGAGAAATCAAGATGCAAGGATTCTAGGCTCTGCTTTGGATAAACTACTGGCAGTATTCTAAGCCCGTTTCCTCATCTGTAAAATTATGTACTTGAACAAGATTAGAGGATCCCTCAAGTCCTTCTCAAATGTAAGAGAACCTCTATAATCATAATGCTGAAAGTCATAGCTAAAGTAACAATAGAATTCATTTATTTCAAGTTCTTTTTACAAATGAGACAACTTAAGACTCAGAAAGGTCACCATTTGTCTCAATTTACTCATTTAAGTTAGAAATTTGAGTCTCAGTATATAGCACACAATGCTTGATATCACAAATAATTGAATTGCTTCTCAATATAATTTTAAACATTTGGCCTCTTTCTTAGTTTTTCATCTCGGGCAGAATCTCTCTGAGAGCATTTACTCTGTGTAATAAAATGCAAATAATGAGATTCTTTAAAAGTCCACTTTTTAGTGATTAAGTCTTTGGGTACATGATTTTATCTCTCTGTAAAATAAAAATGGAATCGTATCTTTAGAGGTTTTTTTCTTTTCTTTTTGGAGGACTAGATAATCTAGTAAAACACAGCAAGGACCCATCTGTGGTAAACATGAATACCATTAGTGTCTCCCCAGCCATCCATTGCAGGTATTTAAAGCTACTCCAAACTTGGGGAAATGTCTTAGGTCCATGTCCCCAGCAGGTTGTGTAGGGGTGAATCTGAATCACACTATTATTATTTTGTCTTTATATGATCATATCTTTTACCTTCATATTATATAGATATGAAGCCTCTGTGTAGTAACTAAGGGTGTGGTACCTAACTGGGAGTCAGACCAACCATTATGCTGCCCACTGAGCTCAGTAACTGGTGATTTCTAGAAGAAGAATAAAAAAAAACAAAAAACAAAAAAACCAAAGGATTCTAAACCTAGGATTTATGGGTGCTTCGTGGCATAAAACCACCTAACAATTCATTTAAACAGACTTTCTCAACCTTGGCATTTATTGACACTTTGGGCCCAATTGTTCAGGGGACTGACCTGTGCGTTGTAGTTAGCAGGTTCCCTGGCCTTTATCGCCTAGATGCCAGAAGCACCTCTCTAGTCACAGGCCATAACCAAAAATATCTTTAGACCTTGCTGAAGGTCTCCTGAGTAGGAGAACATATTCCCCTTCTCCCTCTTGAGAACTTTATAAGTTTATTATATATGTGCTCTTTTTTTTCCTGAGAGACTCATTAGTTTCATCACATTCGTATAAAGGTCTATGACCTCGAAGAGGTTGGAACCAATCACTTAAAACCTTTCAAACTAATAACAATAGAACACACATCTCCAGTAGTAGTTGTGGGGGAAAAATGTACACCATCATGCTAATTAAATGGTGTAATTTGAAAATGTATTATAGAATATATATCTACCCGTTTATTACTTTCAACTACTTTGAAGACATCCATCAAAAAACCTACATCTGGGAAGTATCTACTTCAAAAACTGCTACTCCCAGATGGCAGGCTTCTGCTTCTTAAAATACTGTCTTCCGCAGAGATTCCCACAGTCATCCACCCATTTTAGTACTAGACTTCCAAAGGGTTAGTGCTAATGATGAGTTAAAAAAAAAATTAAGTCCAGAGGGGAAATCGAAAATAGATGTTTTCTAGAAAAGTAGTATAGATTGCAAGATTATTGCAAGATTTATTAGAAGGATGGAGAAGGGAATGAGGCGCCAACAGGAAGGAAGGGACAGAGAACAGTGAAGGCAGGAAGGAGGGAGGGGGTAGAAAGGGGAGGGGGAAGAAGCAGAGGATGAGGAGGATGAGCCAGAGGGAGAAGAGGAATTCCTTGAAAAAACGTTCCCAAACGCGGTATTTCTTGGGAAAGACCCGTTAGAAGTCGCCTCCTGACTTCTCCCTGGATTGTCTGGAAAGACGACTGTCCCCACGGAATCCTTGAGTCTTATGCTTTGAGCCATCTTCTCAGTCCCAAGTCCACACCCGCCTCGTTCACCGCCTTCCAAAGTGACCACTGCTCAAGAACCTTCCCAAAGCTCAGAAAGCTCACTTTACCCACTCTTTAAGGCCCTCCTGCTCATCCACGTCTCCTAAAGACGGTAGGAAAATTGGAACTTAAACCTAAATACTCCGAAAGCCAAACAAGGACCGCGTCCCGTTTTCGTGGCCCCTCGGGAGCACCCGAGAAACCCAGTAACTTTCTCCCCTACTTCTCAGTCCGTCAGCCTCTCCCACTGTGCCCTTTGATGAAGACGCGAAGAGAGGGGGCGGGGAAGAGGGATTCCGGGCTGGCAGAGCCTGGAAGGCTGCTCCCCAGGGGTGGGCTTGCACCCGCGTGGGCAGCGGGGCGCGCCCCCTCCCCGCCGTGCGCGCCAGGAACGTCGCCGGCGGCCGCGCCGCGTCCTCGATCTGTCTGCGCTGGGTCCCGCGGGGCGCGAGGGGAGGGGACAGGAGAAAGAGGAGGGCCGGGCAGCCGAGGGGAGGAGGCGGTGCGTGCCTCGCCTGCCAAACGGAGAGCTGTTCATCTGCGTGTGATCCCCGGCGCCCCGCGCGCGGCCGCAGCGCTCCGCCCGAGCCGCCCCGGAGACTCCGGAGTGGGGTCTGCACTGCGTTCCGCTGCCGGTCTTTCCTGAGACCCTCAGCTCCTGCCGGCCTCAGCCCTCCCAAGTCGGCCCCGGGTCTCTGCGGCTAAGGACAGCGGCAAAAAAAAAAAAAGAGAGAAGGACGTTCTTCTGTGCCTTGGATGTTCCGGTCCGGGAAGGACAGCAAGTTGTGTGTTGCGCCCGGGACTCGGGAGAGAAGGTGGCCGCTGTGCTTCAGCCATGTAAGTAAAGCACTCGGCTGCCCCACGGGCGTGGGTTCAGCTTCTTTCCCTCGGGCCCCCTCTGACCCGGACGCTGGAGTTGGGCTGGTCCCGGGCTCCAGACTTCGCGAGCTCGGCTGTTCTGCCGGCTCTGCCTGACTGCCGCGTCTGCTGTTGGCATTGGCCTCCGGGGGGTGCTGCCTTCCCATCCTTATCTCCTATTTTCTCCCAGAGCCGGCTGGAAAATGCCTCTTTCCCTCTTTTGGAATTGAGGGATCCTTGTGTGTCTTAATGGGTGGGGTGGAGGTGAGGCAATTGCAGGGGGCTGAATCTGGGCTTGTCTGGACAAGAGCTTCTCATCCATATGGAGAAGAGGGCCCTCGCGCCCCATGCCACTCCCTGCTGGTCTTCGGAACCAACCTCTGGGCTGGGCTCAAAAAGAACTTCAGCCGCTGATCATAGTCGGCAAGATTTACAAAATTAAATGAATGAATGAATGAATGAATGAGTAAAAGAACCCTGAGTTCCCTTTGAATGATATACAGAATTGGAGATGGGGCATTGTGTGGGGAAGAGACAAGTGGGGGCTAGGAATTTGTTATGGACCTCCAAAACTAGAGTTAGGAAGGTGGTGGGCTCTGTGCTTCTGGATTCATTTCTTTATGAAAAGTGTGGGAATGGTTGAGAAACTCGTTTTCAGTGTCAGGAGTGGAAGAAAATGCACGTGGAACCATTTGAATGACTGAGGTTTAATGGTGAGTGCTGAAAAGTGTGGATTACCTTTCATATTAGACAAGTGTTCTGCCACAGGAGTGGTTCCCGTGAAATTATTGGAACCAATGAATCAGAATAGCAGATGTGAAAATAAGACACACGCAGGTTTTCTTTTATACTAGAAGATAGTTATTAGGACTGAGGGAATTCTCAAATGCTACTGATTGAGTATTGGAAGTGTCCGATAATAATTGTGTCCAATGTCTGTGCTTAGATAGTCATAATGCTGGTTAAATTTATGGTATTCTGCAATTGTAAAAATATTATCCTAATTATTTTGATTGGGTTCATGCAGAAGTAATACACCCTTAAAGGGACATGGAAAAGTTGCTATAAACTGTGAGCATGAACTTGCAAGCCAAATAAACAAACCACAGTGTAGTTCATTTTATTTTAATGCCCTGAATTATGTTTAGTGCCAGTAAAAATGCTACATTACTTTTAATGTGAGTATATGAAATGAATTCACTGCTGTGGTAAATAGAATGCATTTCTTTAAGTAAATAGCTGTCAGAGTTCATTTGGGAGCATTTATACGAGATAAAGATGTGAAAACGCTTTCACGTAGTTTGAAAAAGCTTGAGTTATAGGGCAGTTTATAGAAGAAATTAGTTCTTCCCACTTTTGAAGTATTGAGTCAAGTTTGGATATTCCTTCAACTGTAGGCCAACTGGATAGGCGTTATCAATTCTCTGAAAGTATTTAACTTTTCATATTTCCTATTGCTGTTTTCCAGGGACCATCATCCTTACTACAGAGGATGGGAAGTTGATGCCCAGTGAGATTGGAAGATCTGTTTTGTTCATAGACACTCTCCTGTGGATTCCCTGTGTTTTCTGGTGGTTTCACACCTTGACTCATTCCTGCAGTTCCAGAACGTTGACTTCAGGCCCTCATTGCCCTATTTGGTGAAAGATGGCATCCAGCCTGACTTGTACTGGGGTGATCTGGGCTCTGCTCTCTTTTCTTTGTGCTGCCACCTCCTGTGTGGGCTTCTTTATGCCTTACTGGCTCTGGGGATCACAGCTGGGCAAACCTGTGTCCTTCGGTACTTTCCGGAGGTGCTCGTATCCTGTGCATGATGAGAGTCGGCAGATGATGGTGATGGTGGAGGAATGCGGGCGCTATGCCTCCTTCCAGGGCATTCCCAGCGCAGAATGGAGGATCTGTACCATAGTGACGGGCCTGGGCTGTGGCCTGCTCCTCTTGGTGGCGCTCACCGCTCTCATGGGTTGCTGTGTGTCGGAGCTCATCTCCAGGACCGTGGGAAGAGTGGCTGGAGGAATTCAGTTTCTGGGGGGTAAGTGACCTGCTAAACTCAAATTGTTTACCAGAATCCCAAAGCCATGTTGAAAATTATATGTTTCATTTGTCTATTGAGATATTGGATTGGAATTCACAGGAGAAGTAGATATGGAATGGCTTTAGTGATAGACTGTCAAAATCAAAGATTTTTACTGGAATTGCTTCACAACTTCAAGGGCTCTTTATTTCTGTACATGCCTATATATATATATATATATACACACACACACACATACATACACACCATGGGCCTGCTAACTACCATCTCGTGGGAGACAGTATCATCTACATTGTGTTGTAGTTGGGGAGTATGGATTTTACAGCTTCTTGCTCTTTTATGTACAACAATAGGCAATTGGATTATCTTTGTCATACTGGGAACTTCAGGTCTTTAGAAGTAAAGCTTTCCTAGAAAAGCACAAAGGGTTTTTGATTCAACATTGTCCTCATTAGCCTCCAAGACTCCTTGATGGGTCTCAAATCAACCCTTGCCCAGACATAAACCATATTTCTGAATAAATGTTATTATTTTAAACTAGAGAACAGTTTTATATTAACAACTATAAACTTAATTATACTACCAAGATAGCCATAGGCCTAATTACCATGTTAGGACTTAAATGTTCCTGGATGCTTTTGCTATGCGAAAAAATAGAAGAATACTGTATTTAACAAATGAGGTGTGCTTGTCCCAAATGGACTGGATAGTTTCACTCACACTGAAAAGGTTTGATTTTTACTTGGCTTTCCTCCAGAAAGTATTGCTTCAGTATCTCTGGTCATATGGTTCTAATTGCACTTTATATATTTTCCACTGTGGTTTTCACCTCCATTCTTCAACCTGACTGGCTGAACTTGTCTGATTTACAATCCACCCTGGTGAAATATGACAACCTCCATAGATAGTGCAGACTGAAGGGAAATGGGAAACCTGGAAAACTTATAAAATGTATTTGTAACCTCATGACAAAGTAGAAGTCTGTTATGCTCCCATTTGGTGTTCTCCTGTATTCTTTTAGCAAGAATACGGAAGAATAAAAAGAAGCATTAATAATGCATAGTTCTGAGATAGCCAGTACATACTTGAGAACCCCAAATGGATTGTTTCAGATTATTTAATAGAAAATGTTCAAGTAACATTTCAAGGGTGTTTAAAATGCAAGTGGCAAAAATATTTGTGCTTTGGAATGAGAATTAGACATGTTTGCAGTTCTTCATTTCCTTCTTCTGAATTAACTTTTTGTTGTTGTTGTTCCTGTGCTTTTGCATCTTAGTCTGCCTAGAGGAAAGTTGAGGAACCTAAAAATTCAGTCCTTACTGCTTCAGTATTCAACACTAATAAAAATCTTGCCTGTGACGTGTGTATGTAGAGAAATATAATAAAACTATTAGGAAACATATAGAGGTTATCATTGAAATAAAAACTCAGTGTTCAAAACTTGTTCAGAGCACAGGTTTTTAGAATAGAACTAATGCCAGAAGCATTTTAAAAATTTTCTTTAAGAATAAACTGGGTTTGCTGTTTGTTTCACTTGGCTCTGGAAAAATGCTTAGGCAGTTTCATTTTCTCCTCTTATGGTAAATATTACTTTCCATTTTTTCTTCATTTTAGGGCAGAGACTGCTATTATTTCTGGCAGAATAGGAAAATGCTTACAAAGAGAAATCAGTTTTTATTGATTATCTTTAAACATATAATGAAGGAAGACAACAGGAAGTAAATCTGACACCCATGAGATTTATGCTTCCCTCTCTGAGCTATGTATAGATTTTTTTTGAATTATATAGAGCTAAATGTTCTACTTTACAGAATACCCAAGGGACAGACAATTGGGAAAGTTATATGTATCTTAAAAGAAACCAGGTTTTTTCTTTGTCTATGCTTTTGGTGTACCCTGATTTGGTAAGAGTTACTCACCATAAACTAAGGTTATGATCTGTTATTAGCAGTTGATAATATTTTATTTCTCAAGTGTATATATGTATTTCTTATATCAGCAAACGGTAATTCTGGATGTAAAACCTAAGAGGGGTTTTCTTTTCTTTTTTTTTTTTTTGTTCTAATTAGTTGTACATGACAGTAGAATGCATTTGAACACATCATACATAAGTGGAGTCTAACTTCTCATTCATTTGGTTGTCATGTAATCATATACGTACATAGGGTCATAATGTCCAATTCATTCTACTATCATTCCTACTCCCATGTCCCCTCCCTTGGCTTCACTTCCTAGAGGGTTTTTCTGACTCTAACTTCTTGAGAGTACCAGTGAGTAAATATACCAATTACCAATGATAATGGTAACTTTAGAATTAAAAAAAAATAGCTTGAAATACATAACAGGTTTTGAAAATCTGTTATTAATCACTCTCAGGTAATAAGAGACCAGATGACAGAAGAAAACACTCCAAAAAGAATTTCTCTTATTGTTCATTTCGTAATTGTTTGAGTTTCTAGTCATTAAATCTTATGTGGTAAGTAATTTATTTTGTTACTTTTTTTTAATAAAATGGGTGAGTTTTATAAAGATCTCTGCAAAAATTCCAAACCAGTCAGTTCTGTGAATCTCATAGACTGCGTGTTTTAGAAATGTAATCAACATACAGGGAACTCTGCTGTGAGGCAGATTCTCTTACTAAAAATGATTCGCCCAGAAGGGTTATGTTTAGCTAAAGTGATGGTTGCTCCAAAAACAACAGGAAGCAGGAGAATGGCAAAATACAGAGGCATCCTGCTTAACCCCGCCTGCAGTATCTGGAGTTCGCACATATGGTGTAACATCAGGCAGTAAAACCCCTGCAGTACTTTGGAACAAGTTAAAGGACAAAATGTCAACCTTAATTTTGAATCTTCTTGCTATGGATGGCTAGAGGTAAAAATTTCACTTGTCAACTGATAGAACAACATAAAATGGTCTGGTTGTATATGGATGTTTGCTACCTGTCCTAGGAAAACTGAAGGAATCAAAGATGAGTGCAATTTCCTGTGGTCACTTGGACACAAACTTAATTTCTGCCATCTCTGTCTCATACTATAAGACACGTTTACATTATAATTTTTTAAAAATAGTAAGAGTTGAGTTCTACTTTCAATTGATTTTTTTTAAAAAAAGGCATATAGAAAGACTTTGGAAAATATAATGTATGATGAAAGTGTTAACATGTATGTGATATGGCAAGGTTCCTCTGAGAACATAGGGGTGTTAAAGTTGTTTTTGTTCAACATAAAAGTATGTGCCTTCAAATACTGTTGTGCTCATTAAGGACTCCAACAGAACTTTAGAAAATTGATGGCAAACTCTCTGATGTAGTAGTAAAATGTTTTATTTACCTCTAAAGGAGACAGCAGGAATATTGTGAAGATATAGTAAATCTGTAATTTCTGTGAACTTGTGCTTGTGAATGTCAGTATCTGAATTTGTAGATTTCATCTTAAGAGTCTGCTGATGTTGAAATGAGGGGAAAAAAATCAAAGAAAGCCCCAAATTTCGACTGTTTAGTTTGGATGTGTGTTACCTACATGTATAAGAAGGGGGTGGGATGCTAGCCAGCAGCATAGTGTCTTTCCAGTTTAGACACTCCTCTGTTCTAAGAAACCAGGGGAGATCCTCTCCTCAACTAATTGATAGTTGAGTGCTGTTCGTGACACTAATGAAGACAGAGTGTCTCTTGGAGCATCCTTTTCTCTGTGTGCTGAAAGCACCATGCCTTTCCAGGGTGCCCTCGCTGGAGGATCCCACCTGGGCCTGTCTTTCATTCTTTGGGGAGATTGCTCCAAACTCTCCTTCCTTTGCTGTACTTTAAGCCTGATCTGTCATCTGATATGTAGGTTATGCTTTCCTTTATATCCAGGCTCTCTGTCAAGTGACAGCTGAATAATAAGATAAATAATAAGTGTTGGCATATTAATGGGCATCCTGGCTTTCTAGTGATGGTGTCTCAACTGAAAGCAGTTGCTCTAATTTTAAGAAATTCTGGGATTTTTAGGATGTTGGGGAGGAGGCAAAGCTTTTTTTGCTCTTCTCTAGGTTAGGTCATATAGATTACTATTTGTGTTTTTAATCAGTTTGCTCTAAGCTATAATATGAGGTCCAGGTGAGTGATCTTTAAGTTCTAAGCCAAAGGGGTGTGTGTGTGTGTGTGTGTATATATATATATATATAAAATAAATTACATATTAAATTTCCTTTTATCTACCATTCTCTTATACCAGAAACAAGATTTTATTGATGGAAACTAAAAATAAGACCCTATAACATTCTCTGTAGTTTGCATGCAGTGGTTTTTCAGTAAGGAATTACCAGTTAAAAAATAAGAAATCCATACAACAGACCATAGGGATGGGCCTTGATGGCCCCTGGCCAACTCGATGTAGCCATGTCCATTTAGGAAAAGCAGGATGATTAAACCAGGAGTGTGGCTTAGGAATCAGCTATTCTGAGCTCTGCTGCTAGGCAGGATGGCACTTAATTCAGCTCTGGCTAGTGAACATGTTTCCTGGTCCTAAGCATCTGTAGGGGAGAAGATGATTTTCTCTTGCTCAGTGGTAGGACTTTCTAGAACCATAGACTCACATCTTTTATTGCAACTGTGCACACTGATCATGCACAGAAAGAAGCTTGAGATGGAGCATAAACAATGTAGCCCTGGGAGGCAGGCTTTGCCACCAGGAAAGAGTGGAAGGAAGCTGCATTGGGGACAAACACCAGCAAGCGAACCAACAGAGTTCATCTACTCCAAGTCTGGATTTCATAGAGGCAGGGATGGTGGCCAATTGATAATTTATAAAATCTAGAATGCCAAACTTTATATTTTCATACCTGATACTTTGTTTTCCCTAGTGCTGGTAAATCAAACCCAAGGCCTTGTGTATTCTAGACAAGCACTCTGCCACTGAGTGACATCCCCAGCCTGTGTGATAATGTTTTAAAATGACATTTTCAGATAATCATTGATAGCAGTTTTATTATTATTTTTACTTATTTTTTTCTAGAGG